AAAATACATCAGCACCCATCAACCAGTGTATCGTCCTCTGCCATGGCATCATCATCATCATGCCCTCCGTCGTCATCATCCTCATCGTCGCCATCATCACATGAGGCCTGTGGTGTTGCCTCATACTCGCTCTCAGACCCGTCACTGTTGGCCTGCTCATCAGTGCCATCATCATCCTCAACATCAGCATGCGTCCTCTTCCCCACAACATCATGAGATCGAGTCCTCACATCGTCCACGGATATGGGTGATGGCGAACCAACACCGATGGCACCCAATGATCCCAACAGCCTCTCCGTCGTTCCAACGACACCCTGCCTCCCTCTACCCTTGCCAGATCGACCCCCTGGGGGGCACCCGTGTGGTCTACCTCGCCTTGGAGGTCTCTGTGCTCGTGAATGCTCTATCGCACATGTATCATCGGTCTTCCTCTTCTTCCCTCTTGTTGCAGTGTTGTCAACAATGACCGATGACACTCGGGCGGGGAGTGGAGGAATCGTAGATGAATTGACCGATCCCCTGCGCACAGGCTGTGAATGACCCCGAGCACGTGGAGGCATCGACGAACCACCACTGCCATCGTGTGAACGTACAATCACACTGCTGCTGGATGATGATAATCGTCTGATTGTAGCCGTGGCCACACGAGAAGATGAATGGGAGGGGATAGCCAATCCGGGTCATCGCACAACAACAGACCGGTGCAAGACGGGCAGTGGAGGAGCTGTATAGAATCACGTGGGTCGAAGCATGCCGGAAGACGCCGCAGTGGCAAGGCTCTCTCCAATCATTATCATCAACGCTCTCTGTGCCTCTATGCTCTCAAATGTGGGAGGGGGATCTGCCAATGCGGGAGTGACGTGCTCGGCTATGGGAGGGGGTTGTACTGAAGTCTGCACCTCTCTCTCTGTGTCTGGTTCACTGCCCTCCTGGGCCATGACATCTCGCCCCGCTGTAGACCGTGGGTGTGCAGCAGTTGCATCTGTACCTGTCTCCATGTCGCACGGCTGATCGGGCTCACGTCCTCTCACGCCCTCCCCGATAACTGGTGTCATCTCCGAGATGGTGGGTGCAGGGGAGGCATGCTCGGTCTGACCTGTCCCCATGTCCTCTGAAATGAGACAAGGCTGCTCATGGGTCATGGCAACCTCGTCCTTCTCCTCCATGTCGGGAGCTGCCTCCTGCTCGTCAACACCGGGACACACCTCCTCCCTGTCATGAGATGCCTCGTGCTCCCCAACATCGGGACACGGCTCCTCTGCTACAGTCTGTAGGATAGGTCCCTCTGAAGGTCGTCTGGCTGCCCCATCATCGAGAGGCATGCCAAACAACGGAGTGCTCGGGGGGGCGGTACTGACATATGAGGCGTGCGTGTCGACCCTGCGCCCGTGGCTATGGCACTGCAACCTGCCTCGCCAACAAAAACAGTGGAATGAAAGTCTGTATCCACATGATGACCCTCATCAACCTGTGTGTTCCCCCCCTCCGGCCTGCGACACTCCTCAATGTCCTTCATGATATGTAGGGTGTGTCTGGAGCCATGCAGGAACCCGTCGAGGTCCTCCACAACATCAAGGCCTCCCCACCTGTCCCACACACGAGACACTAGCGGTTCATCGTGCACCTTCTCCTTCCCCTTCCCCACGGCTGCAATCTCCTCAATCATGTCCTTCCATGCCCATACGTCATCCGCATCGTAAATGACATCCTCATCCTCCACATCGTAATCATCTTGCGCCTGCAACAGGCGCGCACTGGCACGATCAACCCCCTCCTTGTGCCAGGTGCGCATGTCAGCCTCCACCTCCTCAGGAATCGACATGCCCTCGGCGTACACCTCCTCTAAAGGATCGCCTACCGCTGGCTCTGGCGGCTCCTCCACCATATCCGCCCGCACATCCACATACCCCTTTCGGGTAGTCGACCGTGCTCAGAAGCTGCATGTTCCAATGAATGAACACGAGCTTTCGCAGATTATCACTGGAGAGTCTGTTGCGCCTCTTCATGTGGATGAAGTCATGTGTGGCCCAATTCCTCTCACATGGAGAGGCAGTGGACCACTTGGCAAGAACCTTGATGGCGACTTCCTACAGCCGCGGGAAGTCACCACCATGCAAGTACCACCACCAGGCGGGGTGCACCCCGTGCTTCGCCTGGGCGATCGCAACGGGGTTTGTCCACCATTTGGGCCTAGGGTCCGTGTGGGGATCATCATGGTGGAACAAGTACAAGTCGTACCACATCGTAGTATGCTCCTCTGACCCCGTTCCACCATCCGCGTATGTTCCCAAATGGTGCAGTGCGCTCTGCACCAATGCGTTGTCAGTGTCAGTGAGGAGACTCACATCACGCCGTCGCGGGTCAACAAGGTATGCGAGCGCATACGCCGGCTGGCGCATCATGCCGCAACGGTAGTCAACCCTCTCCATAATCTCAGTCTCGTTTGCCTCTGGTAGGCCTATGTCGTGCACACTCGTCTCGATACTCTCGACAAACACCCAAAGGGTGGTGGAGGAAGAACCATCTGTGTCCATGGAACGCAACAGGCTATAAGCTGGCCTCATGACGTCCTGCACGCGGTGCGCACTATCCCAAAATGACGCCGATAACACAAGCTGTCGAACATGGCGCTCATCCTGCCCTGCCTTCCCCCTCCAAAGGGTGCTCCGCCATCTCACACTACCCACGACCATCCGCAATATCCTCTCCTGATCGATGAGTCGCTCCACCATCTGATACGCTGACTGGAACCGTGTGTCACATGGTCGGATCAGCTCCAGCTGCCCCTGCTCCTTGAAGGACCGATGATACGAGAAAGGCTTGTGAATGTTCTTGAAGAACATCACAACCCTGTGTGTGTTCCTCAAGATCGGGCGCACCCACGAGAAACGCGTGATGTCGCGCAGGAGGAGACTCAAGCAATGGGCTGCACAGGGGAACCAAGGGATCCGGGAAATGTGTTTGTCTGTATGGTCTCGCAACCGCTGTGCAACCACCTTGTTCGCATAAGCGTTGTCAGTGCAATAAGCATTGACATGCTTAACGTTGATATCGCGGATGACCTCCTCCCACAACTCTGCAAGTGCCAGTCCAGTCTAGGAGAGGAGATTAACATAGCCCGTTCATTAGTAAACGAATTGAAGGGGGAGGGGTGAAAGTGAGGCCTTCAGGTGGTGCGCCCCAACAGGAGGTTCAAATCGTGGAAAACGGGCGGATTCAACGATCCAGATAATGAGAGTTGAAGGTAAGAAACGGGAGTATGAACGAGAATGAATCCAGTCGCCTTTCGGCGAAAGATTCACTCCCAAACCGTATTTCTTTTCAGTAACGATTGAAGGCGGAAGGGGCAAAGGCAACTCAGAAGGAGGAAACAAAAAAAGGTTAGAAGGAAGGTTGGGAGAGTTGGGGCAGGTGGGTACTTACCATACAGGAGGAGTCGGGTGTATTTGCCCGTGTTCCAGTGGAATGTTCCTTCGAGTTTTGCCCATTCAATTGTGGGAGAGTAGCGGGAAGCAAGCCGTGGAGTAGAAGACTTACTCGCCCTCAATCTCCAGGCGCACACGGCTGAACAACGATGTACACTCCCAGTTTAGCAGGAGATTTGCTCTCATATGGCGTGTATATCTCTACGTGGCCTAACGGGAGAGTCGAGCATATTCTGCCCGTTACGGTGAACGACCAGCTGAACCAGGAGGGGTAGGGCACATACTTCGGGGAGCTGGTGATGTGAGGGCGCGTACCTGGTATTCGCGAGGGTGTACAAGGTCGACATCTTCGAACACTTCGGTTGTTATTGCTGGCGCCGGCGAGATGCATGGTTAGTTCCTAGGCTGTTAGTAGCTGCGAGATAGTGATCTGAGCGTTGAAACACCACGCAGAATTGAGGGTTTACCTGTTGATCGATGCGGCACCCACAAGTTAGTGGCACATTTGACTGAGGTTGCGGAAGCTTGCTGCTGGTGCTGGGCCGCACTGCAATAGATGGCACGGAAAGGGCAGAAGGCAAGCAGATCGAGATTGCAGGCTACAGAGGCAGACTGCTGCGGACCTAACAGGCGGCCTAGGATTGCCATCCTTTTGCTGATATCCAGAGGAACAGGTTGCATCTACTATAGTTCTTCTTCCGCTGCTTATTGCCACCACATGCGGTTGGCTGGCTGCCCCCATTGCTGCATACTGTGGGGGTGATATGCTGCTCGCTCTATCAAGCAAGGTAGTAAAGGACAAGCTGCGGGTCCCAAGACTACTGCAAAGACGGCTGCTGGGCGCTCAATCTCACTATTCTAAGCTACTACGCGCTGTTGTTTGCTGTATACTACCGCCGCGCCTGTGGGCAAAGTGCGGACTGTGACTATTGGAGGCTGTTGTCGTTTCTATAGACTACCACCGTGTACAACTGCTACTACTGTTGGCCAGGCACTGGGCCCCGACTGCTGCTGCAGACTGCTGTTGTAGGCGGCTGTTACTATTGCTGTTGAGTGGGAGGCGTTTCTGTGGACTGTGTGTGGGTTGCGGCGGCTAGCAACTGTCGCTGTTGCTATTTGAACGCTGCTAAAATACTGCAGCTGCATCCGGAGGCTGTTGCACGCCACTGAGTGACCACGATCGGGCAAGGCTCGGAGAGGTGGTCAGGCTGGACAAGTAGAGAGGTTGGTACTGCAGTTTAGGAGGTCGGCAGAGGGTTGACCGTGACAGTTTGACTTCAGGGGCTGACCAAGTTGTGACATTGACTGCCATTGCGGGGCCCTCAGGAGCTGAAGATTCCAAGACCCTCTCCAATGAGTTTGAGAGCACCCCTCTTGTATCTGAGAGTCTCAAACCGTCTACTTCTACCCTTCTTATTCAGAGAGAAGGTTAATAACAGTCGTATTTTCATCACCACTTCAGGACACCCTTCACCACCTCAGGATGCAGCCTGCCTAAACAGGTGGTTTTTAGGGTCTTCGGACGTTTCCTGAATGGTCCTGAAGTGGTGAAAGCTCCGAAGACCCTGAAAACCACCTGTTTAGGCAGGCTGCATCCTCAAGTGGTGAAGGGTGGTTTTCATGGTTTTCGGACCTTTCACCACTTCAAGACTATTCAGGATTTTCAGACGGCCCAAAACTCTCACTTGACCACTTCAGGACACCCTTCACCACTTCAGGATGCAGCCTGCCTAAACAGGTGGTTTTCAGGGTCTTCGGACCTTTCACCACTTCAGGACCATTCAAGATTTTCAGACTGTCGAAAACTCTCACTTCAGAATTTTCATTCTTGAATTTTCAGCTACCCGATAACCGCTTGTGCTTATTCAAAGTCTGGTCCTGTTCTGAAGGGAAGGCGGCAGGCGGGATTGCAACCCGTAGGACCATATCAAGACTCTGTGGGGAGTCAACCCACCGATTGCGGGAGCTCTGCCGGAACTCAGGAGGAGTTCTGGAGGCAGGGAACCGACAAGTAATAATTGTTGTCCCCTCTATAAACCCAGATTATAACCCCTGTTCTGTATTTCTCATTACATCTCTAATTGAATACATGATGTGCAGCCCTACTTTACTCTTTCGTTTGACTTTCAGGACACTGAACAAGACTAAGTAAAGGAATGTCTGTTCAAGTTTCAGTTTCAACTTTAATTGATTGTATGAATTCAGATTTTTGAAATGAACTGCATCTGGGGAAAGGCAGGATGGAGGGTTGTTTTGCTTGAAAGTCGACTGGGTCCTTAAGGCTGGGAGGTCCCCATAAGTTTGGGGAGACCCTGTGCTTTGTTTATTCTGGTTTTGCATGGAGCAGCAGACCCTTCCATAGGTTTAGGGGGTCTGATTGCTCTGGAGGCTGGGATGTCCCCATAAGTTTGGGGAGACTTGGTGTTGTGGCTGTGCATGGAGGGTCAGGCTGTTCTATAAGTTTAGGTGGTCTGAATGCTCTAACTTGCGAAGGGTCTGATTGTGCCTGATTTTCAGGGACTCGGGGCATTCAATAAGTTTTGGTGCCTCAGGTTGCCTTGTTTTCATTAGGGTTTTATCTGTTTTTTTTGTGTCTAAACGAGGAGGTCTGAGTTGTTCTATAAGTTTAGGTGTCTCATCCTCTTTCTGCTTTTTATTCTGAAGAAGTAATCTTGGAAAAAGGCCAGAGCCTTCTGTAAGTTTAGGGGGTCTGACTCAATGCCACACACATGAAGATTCAGAGAGAAATGAAATTGGCAGGGAGTTGGACCCTTCTGTAAGTTCAGGGGGTCTGGATCAAAGCCTCGCACATGCTGGAACCCAATAGTTATAATTTGGCTATACTTTACTATTATTCTATCTAAGAACGAGCTAATCAGACTGTTCTATAAGTTTAGATGGTCTGACTATAGCCGTATCACAACCTGAAGAGAGTACAATTAAGAATAAAATTGGTGGTAAACTGGGGCAGGCTGAACATAAGTTGGTTCAGTCATATGCAGCCTTAGAAGATAAAAAGGGAAGACAGGTATATATGACTTGGATACTTTAAACAGTTCAGGGCGACTAGAGTGATTTAGTCATGTGCCCAAAGAAGAGAAAAGTAGTTGTGCCCTGTGTTTGTGTATACTTGGCTAAGTCAGAATGCTCTATAAGACTAGGTATTCTGACTCTAGGCCTGGCTAAGTTGGGCACGCTCTGTAAGTTCAGGTGGCCTGGCCTATGCCTTATGTAAAGATGGGTATAAAGGGTTAAATCATTGAGAGATCATGAACTATTGTTTGTTCAGGTTGACTTGGGATAGTGATAGTACTTACCTTTGTGGTTTGGCCTACATGTGACTGAGTGAGACTACTACTTAGTCTAAGTTTCAGATTGATAGGTAGTTGCATTAGTTGTTCGCCACGTGCTAGAGTCATAGGAGTTCGGGTCAATTCCTGCATTTTCTGTAGTAACTTTTTTACTTAGGTCAATTCTTGCATTTTCTGGGGTATTTTCTTATACTTGGCTTTGTATAAATCTTGGCAAGCTACTTTCTCTACGGGAAGCGCTACTGAAATTTCTACAAATCCAAGAAGTTAGTCAAAATTTAACTTGTCAAAAGTTCAACTTTGTTTTTTCTTAGATCTGACTTAGTTAAAATTTGGGAAGTCTCCTTTTCTAGAGAGAGTGCTGCCCAAATTTTTTCTAATTCAGGGAGTTAGACAAAATTGGACTTTGAGAAGTCAAAAGTTACTTTCAAATTTTGGACCTAGCCTTGTATAAATTTTGGAATAGCACTTTTCTAGAAGGAGTGCTGCCGAAATTTCTGCAAAAATAAGGAGTTAGTTAAATCTTGTTTAAAATTGAACTCGAGTGTGTTTTGAAGTTCATATCTGACTTAGTTAAAATCTAGGAAGTCTCCTTTTCTAAAGGGAGTGCTGCCCAAATTTTTACTAATTCAGGGAGTTAGACAAAATTGGATTTTTCAGATGTAAAGTTTATTTCTGCTTTCATATTTTGACTTATATAAATTCTGGAAAGACACTTTTCCTACGGGAAGCGCTGCCGAATTTTTCTTAGCTTAAAGGAGATCGATTATATTTTGACAGGTGGCGATTTTGATAAGTCCACTCTGACTGAAGGAAGATTTTGCCATATTGCTTAGAGGTAGGCTTAGACATAATTAACTAGGATAATTTGGGTAAGGTCACGATATGAAGATTGTTCTCCATGAACTTATAGGTTCAGCCTGGGACATTGACTTGTCATGTGTTACAGACCCTCTTGATCATTTGATTCAAGATCCGGACTAGATTCGGCTTTATCCCTCAAGGATCATCATCTGTTATCAATGATAACAGGTCGGTTGCCGATTCGTTGGTCTACGACTCAATTCCAACTCACCCTCCACACTCAACCTAAAAAGCTTTAGCCCTGACCCCTGGTGATTTCATTGTTTCATTAAGGTTTTACCCGGACTTTTATTGAATGGTCATTTAACAAAGGTACTAAGTATTTAATTAAGGTTCGTTGGACAGTAGGCTAGGGCTGGCATGGCTAAAGCGAGGGGTATGAGTGTCGAAGATGATTGGGGTTGAC